GTGCGGTAAGAAGGAGTGGAGCGTAGAGGGGGAGGAGGCACAGGCAAATGAGAACCAAACAGCGAGACAAAGCAGAGACTATCGTAAAAGGCAAGGTGCGCTTGCTTTCCAACACCCAAATCAATGAGAATAACCACTTCATGGCCAGGCCTCCAAGGTCCATAATAGAAATCGACTGATCAGGAAAACAGGTGTTCCCCGATACGATATGAAAAATAAACCTTTATTGTTTAAGACACTTGCATTAGGGCTGGCAAACTCCTGCCCTTCCTTTTCCTCCAAATTCAATGGACTCTGGGGTGCGTTGTATGAGTGGCAGCCTTATACTGGGAGTGTGAGACTCCCTCATACATACTCACAAACTGAGGCTGGCACAGGCCTAAAGGCCTAAAGGAGGGTGTCCTGAGGAAGAGTACCCACCAGGGAACTTCAGAGCCTCCATGTCAGTGACCTTTGACCCAGAGGATTCCACATCAGGGAGGGCTGTGGCCTGAATGTTAGCATCCCTCAGAAAATGAGTGTGGTACAAAGCCATCTTTTTTTTAGTTATGTACTTTTGTTAATTTTTTATTTAAATTAAAAACAGTCTTATTTTACATCCCAGTACCCTCTCCCTCCTGCCCTCCCATTCCCCCACCATCTCCCCATCCTACACCCCCCATCCACTCCTCAGAGAGGGTGAGGACTCCCATGGGGGGGGTCAGTAATACGAAGAGGCCAACCAATCTCTGGCCTTGTGTGTGGGATTGGTACACTTAAAAAGGACTCCTGAAGATGTAGCTCAAGTTCTAATAAGTCTTAGCAATAAAAGCCCAGAGTCACATATTAGGGGGTGAGAGCTGAAAGATCAGAGAAGCAGCCGGCCTCTAGAGCTCTTACCGCTGTGAAATCCTCGGGCTGAAACGAGAGCGAACTCCTGTCTCGTCCCATCTAGATTCCCCTCTCCACCCAGTCCTCTCCCTTCCTGACTGTCCGTACAGACCGCCAGACCTCTGTGGTTAGCTAGTGGCTAGCTTCTCCCTCTGATCTTCAGGCTAGCTTTATTTGTTAGAGTATAAGCAAGATACCACCACACAAAGAAGCTGATTCTCCCCTCTACCTTGTGAGGAGCAGCTTTGAAGGCTCCATCTTTGGAGGAAAGAGTGAACCCTCACCAGGCATCAGATGGCCTTGGGCTTCCCAACATCCAGGACGATGAGCAATAAACTACCCAGTGCAAGGTGTATTGTGCTGCAGCACCACAAAGGACTGAGAGGAGCGTTTGGCGTGGAGGTGTGGGCTGCAGTCGCGTGGCTACGCCACCAACACGTCCTGCCAAGGAGTGTGCTGTCTCTCTCAAGCATTCTCACCGTGCTCTCTCGTTAGTGCTCTCTTGTTAGCGGGATTCCGCAGCTCACCCTCATCGCCGCCTCCTGTGTCTTGTTGCTGTCCATCCCTGTCTCTCTGTCTCTGACAGCTTGCCCTGGCTTCCTGCATCTCTGGCCCGTTATCTCGGCGTGTGCCACTGGACTTGTATTTCCTGTCTCTGGGCCTCTCTGCTCCCATCGCCCACATCTCCATCCCTCCCCACGCTCCTGTACTGCCTCTAGTGATGTGCTGTTGTAACTCGTGAATCTTTAGAAAAACTGGCTCTGGGTAAACCAGTCCTTTGGGTCCTCAGTCGCCCCTGCCAGTATTGAACCAACTGACTCTTTCACCTGCGTCTTCAGTTTCCGATCAGACAGTCTGTTTGGCCCTCTTTGGATCATTTCCTTCTCCACTGATACGGGAGCTGTTCCCTGGCACTTACTCCTCCCCAGCCCCAACTGCTCAACACTTGAACTCCGCCCACCTCGTATCTCTAAGCTCCCAAACTGTTGCTCTTGGCAGGAGTTCTCACACTTCTCCTTCCTTCTGCACAGTCTCAGCTTTGCCTCCAACGACAACAGCTTTCCCAGGAAAGGCTGTGATAAGCTTGTGACCCTTGGGAAGTTTCATAATTAGGACGAGTAGACAGAGGCCAGACAGGCCGTCTATGAACACGATGCTTCATCTGCCCTTTCCAGAGGCGCTGCCCACTCCCCTCCGCTGCCTCATCTCCTGCTCATTTCCCACACCCTTCCCTGGCAGAGCCCTGTCTTGTCTAACTACCCTGACCTCTGCTGGCCACAGCCTCCGGAAGGAACCGAGTGCAGGCCCAACATACATACACACATACTGTGGCACATGTGTGTATGCAACATTGTACACATATACACAAATACCCACACTGAGACATGCGTATACACACACACATACACATACAAGACATAAATGATAATGCATAAAACAAAAACAAGTGCTACCACCAAATTCTGGAAAGGCTGCTGGATCTCTTACATGCTGCTGAAGAGAGTGAAGGATACAGTCTCTCTGAAGCAATCACAGACAGCACTTTCTTGCATAATGGATACGTGTTCACCGTACAGCTCAGCAAAGTCACTCTTGGCCACTGATGCCAAGGGAATAAAAGTAAGTGTGCATAAAACCTCTACCTGAGTATTCATAGCAGCCTTATCCTTAATGACCAGACAAAGCCCGAATGTCCTCCAGTGGGTAAGGTTAAACAAACAGGAATATCTGCTCCATGGTACAGTGCTCCACCACCAAAAGAAATGGGAAGTTACAATAGCAAAGGTTTGAACCGATCTCAAAGAGCGGTTTCTTAGTAGGCTTGTTAAATTAAGCATGGGTAAACAGGGGGCATAAAAAGCCCCCTTAGTTAGAATTCACCTCAATGGAGGCTACCTATGAGTTCAGTCTGTAACCACTACTATGATCAGAGCAACAACCACATGGCTTAGCAACTCCCGTCCCAGCTCTGATGCCGGTGCGATGAAAATCACAGAAACAGCCAAGCCAAGTATAGAACAGAGCATCCCACGTTAAGAGAAGATGGGATGAGCATTGGACGCAGCATTGTATCCAGTTTGAGGAAGGGGGTGCAAGAAAGGGTTCTAAGTACAGCTGAGGAATATAGGATATGTGGGCATAAGAAGAGGAAAGTAGAAGCTTCCACGGCAGAGAAAATGCCGCAGGTGAGCACTAGTCTGTAGAGCATTGGAGAAACTACAGCTTGAGAATGTCCCAAGAGAAGAGGCTGGGCCCAGGACTGACAATAAGCAAGGTCCAGGCCAAGAGCTTTCCCAAGTACTGAGAGGGTTGGGTTGTGCTCAAGGTACAAGGGGTCACAGAACAGGCCGCAGGCCATCTAGTTTCCTGGTTTCTTTTTCCTTTCTTTCTCCCTCCTCTCTTTATTGTTTAGCCATTCATTTATTCTGTATGTATGTGAGGTGCAGTGCAGACGCAGAAGTCAGAGGACAGCTTGTTAGTTCTCTCCTTCTCTCCTTTTCAGATATCAAACTCAAGTGCCGTTAGCTGTTCAACCATCTCTGTGGCCTTGGATCCCCAACTTCTATAGCCCACCTGTATATGGGCTCCTCTCCTCTCCTCTGACAGTCACCCCTCCATACCTCCAACACCAAGTTCAAACCCCACCTCCCTCTCCGGAAGGCCTCCTCACACCCTCACTAGACGGGGTTCATTCCTCCAAACAGCAGGTACAAGGAACCTGTGTGTGTGCGCGCGCGCAGAGTGGCAGCATGCACAGTGGGAGCTGATGTTTACAGCTGGAAGCCAGTCTGCCTGAGTCCAGATGTTTTTGCAGTCACGCCCTCTCTGTGACTCTCTATGCTCAATCACCTCATCTGTGAAGCAAATACCTGGAAAGGTCACCTCAGGACCAGGTATGGTGCTGCACATCTTTAGTCCCGCACTCTGGAGCCAGAGGCAGGGAGATTTCTGTAAGTTTGAAGCCAGCCCGGTCTACCTAGTGAGTGAGTTCCAGGACAGCCAAAGCAACATAACAAGCCCTTGTCTCAAAAAACAAAAACAAAACAATCAACAACAACAACAAAAGCAGCCAGTTATCTCAGGATGGAATAGATTGGCATACTTAACTCCCAGCAATGAGTTAAAAAGCAAATGCTTGGTGAGTGTTACCCCTTGTCGGGTTGTGTTGGCTGCCATGTCTTACCCCTCCCCCATCCACAGCCAACCCAGGCAAGGTAAAACATTGGTAGTAAGTTAACTTTGGGACACAGGAGCACAGAGTTCATGTCCTTAGCTCTCTGACAGTCACTTCTAACTTCCCCAGGTATGTCCAGGTACTCTCTTCATGGGCTGTCCTCAACAGGTTAGAAATATCCTTATGTGAACCAAGCAGTGGTGACACACTCTTAATCCCAACACTCCAGAGGCAGGTGGATCTCTGAGTTTGAGGCCAGCCTGGTCCAAAGAGTGACTTCCAGGACAGCCAGAGCTACACAGGGTTTCTGTCTCTGAAAACCAATAAAAAGAAAAGAGAGAAGAAAAGAAGAAATGTCCTTATGTTTCACAGGTTCCGCCCATCTCTAACCATGACTTAGAGTGGACACCATCCTGGCTCTGGCTCTGACTCCCAGAACGACCTCGGGCAGGCTTTGCCTTTTGGAAACCTCCATGTTTCCATGTGTGCAATGACAAGGAGTTGCTGTCTGGGCAAGAGGCTAAGAGGCACTTGGCAAAGGGCTGATGTAAACGTGACTTCCATTTCCTGCTGCAAGCCACACACCTCCCAGGCCCTCACTTTCACTTCCAGAAGGAACACACTCTACAGTCCAGCCCATCTGGCCTGAGTCCAGTGCGCGAGCAGGTACATTTTAATATGCCCCACCCACTGACTTGCTGCCTTCAGGGTCTCCTCCTCCAGGGACTTTCCTGGCTTCCTTCTGTAAATGAAGGAAAGAGCACATGAGCGTACTGTATATAAATATGCTTGGGAAAGATTTCTCCTCCTCCTCCTCCTCCTCCTCCTCCTTTTTTTTCCTTCCTTTTCTTTTTTTTTTTTTTTCTTAAACCAAACTTAGTTTCTGTTGTAGGCGGCGCATTCCCTAGTCGGGCAGGGCGGGTTGCAGAGGGAGGGGGGAGTGAAAAGGGGAGGAGAGGCAGAGCATTAATTCCCCCAGTGTGACAGCTGCTCTCTTATTTAATGGGGGTCTCTGGTCAGAAGGGCTCAGAAGAGCCACCAGGAGAGCCACAGCATGACTGAGGAGCTGGGGCTGGGCTTCGAGGAAGCAGCCAGAGTGGAGATGCCAGAGGCCAGGGCCAGGCTAGGCGCCAGCAACAAAACATGCTTGGCTCTTGTCTGCTGCCTGTTGTCGTTTTCCATCCTCGCAGGACTTAGCACCTTCCTGATGCTTGGCCAGCTCCGGGCCCCTGGAAAAGACTGTGTGCTGAGGGTGAGTAAGCTCGCTTCTGCCTTGGGAATCAGTGGTCTCTCTACAGGCAGCCACATAGTCCAGCTTGGGACCTATGAGAGATCTGTCTGTCCATGGATAGCATTGCTAGCTTCCCTGTACAAAGGAAATACAGAATGGGGGGGGGTGTGAGAGGTGGAGAGGTCCCATCTGGTTCTTAACTCTGTGTTTCCAGGGCACTGAATTGTTTCATATCATGTTTATACAAGAATAATTTCACACTCCATATTTTTTAAATAATTGCAATCATAAATCATAGTGCACTGATACTTTGGAAACAGTCCTTTTCCTTAAAAACAAAATGCTCTTAAATTGTATTATATAATGCATGATTATTGAGGGGAAAGAAACAGAAATCACACAAAAGAAAATGAAGATAATGCCTTACTCATAAGTCCTTAGAGATGAAAACTATTAACAATCTCAAGTATATAATTCCTTTCTAGTTTTAATAAAATGTGATTACCCTGAGCTTCCTACATAGTATGAAGCTATGTTTTGTTTGTATGCTAATGACTCTGTGGCAGCATGATGCATAGATGGTTATACTATGTTCCTATATGTGTGTGCTACAATTTGTTTAATCAATTCCCCTTCTGGGGTTTAGAAACTTTCTTCAGTGCTCAACTAAGAACCTAATGACCCGAAGGTCTCCCTGGGCTAAAGACTGTCACCAAAAGACTCTGGGAATAGGGTTAGGGCTGTGAGGGCACAGGTGTCCAGGAGGAGACCAGGAGTCAGAACTGGGAACTCCCAGGAAGGATCTGAAAGGTCAAAGTGTGTTATTTAAAGACTATTTAGGGGGGAAATGTCCACATGATCTGTGATGACTGATTCAAGTTTAATCCCAACGATTCAATTCTAAAAGAGAAATTGGGAGGCTTAATTGTAAACCTAGTCTCTATTCATTCCTGGGCAATTTCCATGCCATGGCTAATGTGTAACTCCTACCACTCCATCACGATCAACAAACAGTGATTCAGGCAGCCACGTGTCATGGGTTATAAAATGTAGACATGTGCAAATAGACCAGGAAGGCTGCTTAGTTATAAGGGAACTGTGGAGATGGGAAAATGGGAGAACAGGTTTTGACCCCAGGACACACACAATGGAGGCACTTCAGGGAACTCTGGTCAGAAGAGGACAGCTGTCTTGAACAAAGTATTACCAAGTGGCCTCAGCAACCTGTGCCTCCCTGGGCTCTGAAGAGATCCCTTGCATGCACTAGGATCCTACTACCAGGATACTGTCTGTAAGCCTCATGTTGGCAAAAGCCAAAAAAGGCCATCTAGTCTGGCAGTGGATGGTACAGTCCAGGGAAGGGAGTCAGCAGGGGAGGAGACCAGATAGGAGGATGCAAAATTATCACAAACAGCAACTACTCAGAATCCCCTTCCTGCCTCCCCTACTCAGGTGCTTGAGGCTTGAACCACGCTGATATCCAACACCTCCCATCCCACCATAGAGGGGAGGAGGGGGCACAGAGGGGAGGAGGGGCACAGAGGGGAGGAGGGGGCACAGAGGGGAGGAGGGGCACAGAGGGGAGAAGGGGCACAGAGGGGAGGAGGGGCACAGAGGGGAGGAGGGGGCACAGAGGGGAGGAGGGGCACAGAGGGGAGGAGGGGCACAGAGGGGAGGAGGGGCACAGAGGGGAGGAGGGGGCACAGAGGGGAGGAGAGGGCACAGAGGGGAGGAGGGGCACAGAGGGGAGGAGGGGGCACAGAGGGGAGGAGGGGCACAGAGGGGAGGAGGGGGCACAGAGGGGAGGAGGGGGCACAGAGATGCTTGAGGACATTGTTAAACCAGGCTCTGGGACATCTTAGTGCATGAAAACAGAAAAGAAAAGGGAGTAAGACAGGATTGCCAACCAGGTCCTGAAAAGAAGCTGCTGGCCATTCAGAGGAGAGGGCTTAAGGGGGAAAACATTTATAAACAGCTTGCAGGACTTAAAGAGGGGCCTGTTGCTGAGGAGCACAGACAGAAAGGAGTTCTCAACGTGTGGGTCACAACCCCCACGTGGGTTTGCATGTCTGATATCCTGCACACACATAATGATTCATAAAAAATTACAGTTATGAAGTAGCAACGAAATAATTTTATGGTTGGGGGTCACCACAGCATGAGGAGCTGTACTAAAGGGTCACAGCGTTAGGAAGGCTGAGAACAAATGTTTAAGAGGAGCCTAGTAGGAAGCTGACCTTGGAAAGGGTCTGACTGGAGGATACAGAAGTCTAGGACAGAGGAAAGTGCAGGCAGAGGGGGCAGGAAGCAATGGCCATTTCCCCCCTTTGGACCCTTGATCCCACAGACCAGACTCTCAAGTGGAAGCCAGGGTTCAAAGTATCCAGGGAGCAGTCATGCCAAGAGGCTAGCCTCACCAGGAAGGAGCCCCGCTGAGAAGGAGGTAGAACAGGGGGAGGGGGGGCCCTAAAAAAGAATTACAGGCTCGGGGGAGAGGGCAGAATGTGAGATCCAAGGAGGGAAAACTAGGCCAAAATACAGCTCTCATGGCCCTGAGCATAAAACCCGGCTCAGTCATGAAGAAACAGGCTCCTTGCTTGATATCTTCCAGCTGTTTCCTTTTCATCCAGAAGAGGGCGATTCTGTCAGGATACTGACTAGTGCAGGAGCCTTTTGCATGCCTGGAATGTGGCCCAATGGCACGCTCAGGATACTGGGATATGATTGCCACGCACCAAACAACCACCAGGCACCTTGACCTTGGGCCTCAAGGAGCTTCGATGTCGATGCGTGAAACGCCGGGAAAGGGAAGAGGTCACTTCCTCATATGGGTGCTGTAGTGTTCCCTAGCCTCGCCACGGGCAGGGTGGCAGGGCTCCAGGAAGGCTTTCTGCAAGAGGCCAGGAAGGCAGCTGTGAGATACAAGGCTGTGCCTGAGGTTCTGATCAAAGACTTCCTCTGAGTTCAAAGTAAGCCATTTCACTGGAAGTGAAACAGCCTGGAGCCTTTGTTTGGCAGCTAGGAAAGCTGCCGTCGGGGTAGGGATGAAGAGACTTCCCCAAGCTGGTACCTCTAGTCAGAAACAGCCAAGCTAAGAACCAGACGACCCGAGCCCCGCTCTACATTGGGGTGGCGGTGGTTGGGGTTGTTCACACTGCACTGGGCTCTAGACAATCCCACCACAGGAAGACTGCACTCAGTAACGCCATGGAGGAAAGCCACACCCACTCCCAGCACCCCCCACCCCCCCACCCCACCCCACCCCCGTGGCAGCCCAGAGAGGAGTTTCACAGATCAAATCTACAGTACTCTCAGCACCAAGGACATCTAGCTTGGCATGAAATTAGGGCTGCAGCGGGGGGGGGGGAGCGGGGGTGATCGGAGAGGTGGCCTGTCACTTTTAGGCTGAGGAAATATAATGGAAAACAAAATTGTCTCCCAACCCAAAAGATCTCTTTCTCGAGAAAGGCAGAAGAGAAAGAAATACTTTTATTATTGAATAATCTTTAAACCAAGTTGTGATGCGCATCACAGGCAATCTGCTTCGAGGTTGCGGAGGGACAAAGACATTGCTGCTTTATTTGTATGGGCAAAGATACAACACAGCCCAGCACTTACAAGTTCACTGTAAAGAGCACATAACAGCACATGCTTTGTTTCCTGAAAGAGTTCGCCTACGTGTATGTGTTTACCAGTGCTCGGGGTATCCCAGGGAGCGCTGAGAAGTTAGCCCTTCTTGCTGACATGCACGGAGTGCCAGTGAGTGGCTGGGTCACCAGTGACAGAGGGAAAAGTTTATAAGCATTCCTTAAACAAAATGTTACACGTTCCCTACTTAGAGAGAGAGAGACAGAGAGAGACAGAGAGAGAGACAGAGAGAGATAGAGAGACAGAGACAGAGTCATGTGTTGAAATCTCAAAACCAGTCCAAATTCTAGACTGGCCCCTAGTTAGTACGTCATCTCCCTTCCCGTGAGCTTTGCTTGCATTTGTATGAAATGTGGATAATTAGAAATCAGGTATGCAAGATGTCTGGCATTATGGAGATTAGCCAACAGCAGCACTTACATCATGCTGAGCAGGGAAATTCCCTGCTTGGGAGGTTACTTCACAGAGCACAACTTCCCCACCTGCTGTGGAATCTGCCATTGAAGGAGAGGGGGCAGTAGGGCAGTTTCGGGGCTGCGGGGCTTTTCTTGACCTTCCGAGTGTACCCCGGTCTTACTCCATCACCACAACCTCTCCCCTCAAACCACTCCTTTCGTCAGCTGCGTTTGACCATGGCCCAGGTATCCTCGAGGGTCCCAAATAGTTGCCACTGCTCCGGGACAGGAGCCCTAGCCCCTCTGTCTGCGTGTGTCATCGCCCCTTGACACACACTCAGAGCACTCTGCCAGCACCGAGCACTCTGAAGCCTCTCGGGCTTACGCCAGGCATAGAATGGTACTGAACTCTGAGCATCGAATTGCCTGGGCAATGTGGCAGGGCTTCCTGCTGAGGGCTGTGCCCAGTCCTGTCACATTTGTACTTCCTTCCCAGACTCCCCACACTCTCCTGAGTCCCCTTTAATCTCATTTCTGATAACGCCTGCAGGGCTCCACTGTTTCCCTGACTCGCTCCCCTACCCCACACCCCAGAAAAGCCTGGAACACAGTAATGATCAATAAATGCCAGCTCTATTTCCTCTTGGAAAGGTACCTAGCTGTGCCTGGCAAAGACATTCACCTTGTGTTTTCTGAATGGAAAGGGGGATAAAGACCCAGGCAACACATCAGACCCTGTGTCCATAAAGTGAGGGAATGAATGCACTTTCTTCCTAGCACTGTACTGGGAATTCTGCAAGGCATCCGGAAATCTGGTAGCACAGAAGGGATGCTCTCCAGAGGATTTCCCTAATGTGCTCCTCTTGAATGGGCCTCTTACCTTGCCCAAAGTGTTTTCTGTTCTGAAGGTAGACAATAGCCACAGCCCTCTGTATCACCTCAGAGACACAAACAGATGAGGGAGAAGACTCACAGACA